ATAACTCGCATGGCCCACACTCTCGCACAATGAGAGTAAAAGATTGGCCGTCTCAGCAAGCGCAGGCGGGTCGCGATAATTTTTTACAGGGAGGCGACGTCGGCTCGACGGACACGGCGAGGTCACGGTGAAAATAGTGGGTCATGCATCACCGGGTTAGACAGCTTTTTGAGTGAGTGGGGGGAAAAGAACAAGGTTTGCTGCTGCTACAACGGAAGGCCAACTTCCGGAGGCACTTTTACCCTGCTTTACATTCAATATATCAGGATTCACTGCTGCTCTTGTGAGATGTAACCGTAACTTTCACTATAAGCCCACTTATAACGAACCTGAGCGTGAAACGACACCAGTTCGCTGTATCCTGAAGTTCATAGTAAATGAAACACAGCTTTTAAAAAAAGTTGCGAGTGAAAACACAAACTTTTCTTTCCCCAAAAAGTCCGTGATGCACGTGTTTCAAAGAGCAGAAGCGATAAGCGCAATCTCGAGTTCATTTGAAACGGCAGGGTTTTCGTTCACCGAGGTCCGTGGCATAAGCTGCATGAGGCACTGGCTCCGAAGTTTCGTCGTTCTGGCAATCCCATTCCTCCAAATCGCTCTCGCCACGTACTTCATTCACAATGCCTCAATCCGTACACTGCTCCGCAGTGTCGGCATCATCATCAGCCATAATTAAACCATCGCAACAGATGTCCCACCCGCTCTCACAGGTTGGAGTTCACAACGCGCTGCCACAAATCGCCGCCGCAGTGGTCCTGTCTAGAAGCTTCGGCTCGCCATCCGGCCCGGCGTCGACGAAGTCGGCCTCGCGAAAACAGTTTCGAACGCATGTAGACATCACCGCCGCCCACGAAATATTCATCTCCAGAGCTGAATAACGGCACGCCCGAAGCGGCAAGTTGGCTGCCAGGTGGTCGCAAGCGCTCCGCAACGCGGCACCTAAAGCGCGGATTATGCTCAAGCCAAGCTGTCACACTTTCGACACTTTTTTTGAGCGGCAGGAAAAAGCATGCTAGTCTTCCCATCGGCAACCATGACCCCACACGCACACCAAGAGCGAGCAAGACGCGCACACGAGACACACATGCCAGAACGCGTGGAACAGCTCTAGGCCCGTTTCCAGTCAGAAAACTAAACTAATTCGAGCCAGCGTGGCGGGCGTTGCAGAGCGGTAGAGACGGGCAAAGGCATTTCCTTCCTCTGTAGGCGAAGGGGTTGTGATCAAAAGAGGAGAGCAGATTTACGAGAGAAAGGCAAGGAGTTGCGATAAAGAAAGGGGAGGATGCGGCGGAAGGGCGACCTTGAAAACCAAAACACACGGGAAGGACGCAGGTTGGGTAGCTTGCTTGAAAGATTCGCGAAACTCGCCCGTGAAAAAACTTGCAAAGAGTGCCTACGCGTGCAGAAGTCAAAAAGCCGCCTGGATCGGTGCGCGTGGCGGTGTTTGAAGAATCGGCGGCCATGGTGAAAAAATCGTTTTGTTGCACCGGCGGGTTTGCCTGGCCTCATGAACTTCGATATTTCGCGATTTCTTCCGCACAAATTAAAAGCCATTTTAGCGCTTCCGCACTCATGCGGAAGGCTGCTGAGCCGGAAGGCTGCTGAGCCGAGTGCGAAGTGAGTGAGAACAAGTCCTAAACAAGAAACGAATCTCGAATTATCAGAGTCGTTGGGGTAGCGTGCACTAGACGCAGACTATCAGATACAGTCGGTGGCCGACGATGTTGGCAAATGGTCTGGTCACTCCAGGCCGGCAACGCCAATGACAGTATTGGCAATCAAAAACTGGGTAGATGGCAGACCGGTCTTCGAAAGATCGGTGGAAGTGAGGCGAATCGGTGGCACAGGCCTCGTCTGGCGATGCGGGGTGCTCATAGTAGCGGGGCGGACAAAGGATGGAGGGGTGCGTAACAAAAAGCAGTCAGGGCATGGAGGAAGGAAACAGCTTTCCTTCCTCCATGGGTCGGGGAGAGCGGCAACTAGAGGGTCGTGGAGGCAGGGCCGGTGTTTAACAATAAGAATGTATGGGCACCTCACAGATACCTGACCGGTAGTCAAGAGTGGTTTCCCGGGAAGTCGGCAGACCGCCGACTCCGTTCGCTGTCACCGATCAGCAGTGCTCGGAGGCGTTTGTTGTAAGCGCGATTTTGTGCCATTGAACCAATCTATATTTTCACAGTCATGCGGATATTGTTCGTTTTAAGCGAAAGTTCATTTTAAGTGGGACTGTTATATGTTATGGACTGCATAATCTGAACAACTATACCGTGTTCAGAAGTTGTTCGCTATACAGGATAATTTGATGTAAACAGGTTCGATATAGTCGGGCTTGACTGTATTAGGAACAATGTAGGATCCAAATCCAGTGAAAAATGGCACTGACAAGCCCATTTTGAGGTGCAAGGGCAAAAAACATTTATTTCTTAGAAAACATAGTGGCACTCCTCGATTTTCGAACTTCTGGCAGCCAGAGCTCAGCTAGCCAGTTTTAGTACAGAAAGGAAACAACATCGCTGTCCCGTGTGCTGAAATCTCAAAACACCTAAAGATGCCCGAAGACTGCAAAGTCGAATGCTCGGACAGCGCGTGTAAACATAAAGAAACACGACTGCCACGGCAGCAGCAAACGACGCTTTTCCCCACAAGAGCATTGGTTCTTTCTGCATTGCGCACTTGGAAATATGTGGCTAGGTTTGCCGAAGAGCTGAAGTGATATTGTCAAGGACAAGCAATTGGGGTATGATACATATGTTTGTGAAACCATGCGCGACTCGAACCCTCCGTGAACAAAACTGCCATGCCACTAACGACTCAACAAGGTGATTTCTGCGCAATGCACGTAGCAAATGTAGTACAACACAATGCGAAATTCCACCACAAAACTGATAGTGTCCCCAAGAGTGACAGCTCCTCACGGTCATCTCATACTGCGTCACGCACACGAGCTGATCAGTCAGCGTTCTGTCTATAATGGAGTAACGACATGATTTTAAGACATTGAGAAAGGGACATTTGTGATTTCTTTGGTATGCAGTCAACACTGTCCACACACAGGAGTCAGGCAACACGTATAAAATATATGATTTTAATTTTAGTCACTGAGCATTTGCAGGCCAACTCCACTGCAATCGACGTTATCCCGACAAGTGAAGGCAGTTCACGAATTTGCATGCTCTGTGTCCTGCGCACAGCGAAAATCCCAGAAATCGCAGTCAGGGTCACTAAATGACAATCCACTCATCGATGTTCACGTGCACCAGAAGCAGATGACCGGTGTGTAATTAATACATTGCCAGCTGCTGTCTTTCAACGACGCAAGACTGCTCTGACATGCCACTGAGAAGCCACTTCCTCGACATCCAAACCGAAAGTGTCTTTTTAAGGCAGCAGAAATTAAAATATCTACAATGCGTTTCCAAGCACCATAACATTCATTTTAGGCTTCTCGACAACAGTACTGTAATTACTCGAATCTAACGCGCACCTTTTTCCGGTTAAGCGAGTTCATAAATCGCATGCGCGTTAGAATGGGGTACGAAAAAAAAAATGAATACGGTCATTCTATTGCCATCGTCATTTTCAAAATGGTCGCCCCCTACGCGCGTCGGCCATTTCTGCCTATGTGTTTCCCCTGTGCGGCCTTTCATACGTGTGCTGAGGAGTTCGTCATATTGTAGTGCATTAGCATCGACGGCATGGAAGGGCCAACTCCAAAAACTCGAGTGCACCACGATGCCGCTTTTAAAAGGGAAGTCATCGCGTGTGCACAAACGGACGGAAATACGGGCCGCGTCGCGGTCGTTCGGAGTTTATGAAACGTGCGCGCGGGACTGGCGGAAACAAAAGCAGAAGATTGTCGACAGCAAAGCTTCATGCAAAGGCTTCAGTGGACCACAGCAGGGTCGGTTTCCGCAAATTGAAGAGCTGCTCGGCGAGTATGTGCTTGAGCAGCGAGCGGCACAGCGGCCCATGACGACAGAACTGCTCCAAGTGCGGGATATGCAGTTAGCCTTAGAAAAAGGTCCAATGGGGAGCCAGTTTAAGGCGAACAGATGCTGGCTAACTAACTTTATGAAGAGGAAAGGCTTTTCCCTCCGAAAGTGAACGGGCATATGCGAAAAGTTCTGCGGAGGAGTACGATGTAAAGCTTCACAGTTTTCACAGGTTCATCCTAAACTTGCGGCACAACAACGGCTACGTGCTTGGGCAAATCGGGAATGCCGATCAGGCGCCTCTTTACTTCAATATGCCTGGCACCGCAACCGTCGAGAAGAAGGGGGCGAAGCAAGTTCGCGTGCTGACGTCGGTCCACAATACAACTACAGTGACGGCAATGCTCTGTTACACGTCAGATGGGCACAAGCTTCCCCTTGTATCGCATATTTAAATGCAAGACGCTCCCGAAAGGAGTCGTTTTTTCGAGTGGTGTGATCGTGCGGGCCGGCGAGAAAAATCGGTGCGCATTGCAATCGATGTCTTAATTTTTTTTTTTTCGACGTGGAAATCGGGTGCGCATTACAATCGAGGGCGCGTTAGAATCGAGTAAATAGGGTACTATTATTTCAATCAACAATCCGAAAACTTAAAATTCATGTCAATACTGCTTCCACTTACGAGTTACGGTGGTATATTGGCTACTACTCGTATTCACACCATCTCGCACGAAACCGAAGAAGAAATTCACAAGTGCTCGCACAGCGATTCGTCAAGTCCTTACAAAGATGTTGGCAAGCACACAGTCTCTTTTAGGCATCAGACAGCCAGAAACATTCTAGTATTCTTCCTAAAGGAATTTGTCCTAGCCACGGAGGAAGGAACTCCTATGGTCCTGGCAGGTTCCGGTGATGTGTGGGCAGGCAGAACTGCTCAACCAGAGGCTAGACAAGTCTGCCCTACGTTGCTAAGTTCCCATGACAGGTGCAGGTAGACTGGGCGTACCCCACTGCAGTGTGCGTAACATAATGCAAGTGCACGCTGGCAAGTAGACGGCCCACACTTGCCTGGTTGGCATGCTCCCACCAAAAGAGGGCACCTGGTGGTGCGGGTGGTAGCCAGGTAGCTCAGGCGCAAAGTCACGGTCATGCGGCAGGTAGTAGTGTAGGTAGTCATGGAGCAGAGCCAGGTACAGGCTATCCAGGATGGTCCCGGGCGCTCTCTGGCCTTCACCGCCTATGACGTCCAGCACCATGGACTGTTGAAACTGATGCTGAGACCCCTGGTGAGAAAACAGAAAACAGGATGACACTCAAGCGATGACAAAACGAAGGCGAGAGAAGTGCTTCAAAGAGAGCAAGATTCTGTCGGTGCACGATGGCATGTGTGGCTGGCCCGACTTTCAGAACTGCGGGGCAAGAACAACACACAGGTTCCGTCACTGCACAACGAATGGTACTTTTAGCCAGCTCCCACTGTTTTGTGCCCTTCTATAAGAACTTGACACACAAACTACAATATCATTCCATACGGCACAAAGCAACTTTTCCCAGATTTCCTATAGCAAATTCTAGAAACACAAGTGACACACTTTTGATGAGCGGAGTGTGAATACTGAAACTTTTCAATACGAATCGACTTGGAGTAAGGCAGAACAACTGCCCACAGATATGGAATTGAATACTAGGTATGAAATCATCATCAGCAGCAGCAGCCTATTCAATGTACAGGAGGATGCAAAAAAAAACACTAAAAGAATGGTGTGCCAGCCACATTTCATCATGCTTCAACCGTCATGGCAAAAAACATACATGACACTTCAACCTCATTATTACGAAGTCTGATCAGCCACCAAAATAACTTCATTATGTCTGAAATTCGTTAGAAATGTACACTCGTAATGCTTGCTTTGTTATAGTCTATAATTCATTGAAGAGTTATGTTGAGGTTTGGGTGTAGATAATTTTTTTTTATTGTACCATGAATTACTCTACTGGCTTTTCAGCCCCGTCCGGACTATAACCACTTGAAAATAAATGCAAAACTGCTGAGAACGTACATAACACACTGTTCATATTTATTTATATCTCTACTGTACGCCGCAGGATGAAGGTCCCTGCCTCAGCTTTAAAACCACCCTGTCTAGCACAAGCAAATTTCATTTTGTACCAACCAATTTTTTACTTAGGTTTCTCCACCTAATCCTGCCTTGTCCTCGATAGCCACTTGTGCAATGTTAAAAAGCTGCAAAGCATTAAGCAACAATAGCTTTTATTACTCCTCTGAAACCAATTATTTAAACTGCTTGTCATTAGAGTGCAGCCCATCGAAGATACTTTCGATGCTGAACTTATTACAAATTATCATGCTAAAAAATTAACTGCTTGGCATGTTCACAAGGTGAATGAGCCCCCTAAGTACTGCAAAAATAAATCTAAAAGTAAGAAATGACTCTCTTCCTTATGTGATGTTACGTTCGCACGTTGCTACTTCCTTTTACAAGCATCTCAACATAGTTAACGTGACATTTCTGACAGTCTTTTCGTTGCAGTCTTTTTGTTGTCTATTCTCACAGATAAGAGAAATACAACATATACTATATAATAACTACAGAATGTGACAAGAGAAAAAAAAAACAGCGACAGTTTCAGACAACTGTCGTGCAGTTGCCTGCAACTGCATGACAGGCTGAAATTCAGTATAAAGGCCACAGGTGTCATGCATGTTTCTCACTGATAACATCAAAACATATTCTGTTCCATCCAAAATGCGTAAACATTCACACTCCTCTGGTAAATACTGCTACAACTACGTGCTATGACACACCGATTACAAAGCAGATGAAATCTGCCACTGAGGCGTGAAAGAGTAGCCTTCAACTTTAAAGGCCCAATGAAGAACGTTTTGTCGCCCATGTGAGCGGACAAATGACAGCATCAACATGGTCGCTGTTTTATGGAGGTATTTAGTTATGCGTGCTTTGCAAGACCTTAATAAAGTTTTCAGCAAACAAATTTCATTGTAAGCCACTACGTAATATCAATGCAAACTGTGCAACAGCTTGAAAAAAAAAAAAAAAAAGGAGCCCAAGACTCACCGGCTGCGATGGATTGACGATATAGTAGGCGAAATGGAACATGTACAGCTCGAAGGCATCTATGATAAAGGGCATGGTCAAGGAAACCCACAGCACAAGTGACCGTACCCCTCAGCCACTACACGCTAGGTCCTTTATCCACCAGCAGAAAAAAAGAAAGGCTTCATCAGCATCGACAATTTAATCTGCAGTAGCAAGTATCTTTTCATTTTTGTGTGAGCAACATTCGTTCAGCAGCACTGTCAATTAAAGTAGTGCCGAACACTTTTTAAATAACAGTAAAAAAATGCTGCTTATTTGTAGTCAAGCCTTCTTTGAACATGTGAGCCATATATTGCAGTGCATTCTGCGGGAAATTTACAATTCCATGTCGATACAGCCACAGTTCGCTCGCTTCCTATACGTCAACTGAACAGCAGGCACCTGCCAGTGATATCATGCGTTTTTTCATTTCTGCAAGCAATGCACGCTTGAAACAGCCTCAGTGGAAGAGGTGGAGAAGAATGCCACTTTGTTTCAGTTATTCATCAATTAAAAGTATGCACTACGCTCCCAAACGAAGTAAAGGAGGCATGCTGTTGAAATAGCGCTTAGTAACAGCGTTAGTGGTGATACCAGGGAATGCGTTATTTACGATCACTGTAGTTATTTGCTAGTGTGGGAAGACAGTGTTTTGTCCGCACGTCTTCACTAAACAAGTGGGCGAGTACCACGAAAAAGCCGCTTCAGTTTACTGCCAATACTTTCGATAATGTGTCCTTCTCAACTTCTCTGTTGAACATGCAATGTGGGTACCACCTGTCGGAAAATGTACTCTCAAACAAGTGCAATAAATTGAAAGCTTGTGCCAAAGTGCATTTCCTCAGATATAATGACAGTTGAAAAAAAATTCAGCCACCTAGGCTCGGCGGATAATAATGAAATGAAGAAGCTGGTGGCTGACAAATAAGCCCTTGCTTTGCCAATTACTTTGTTCGAATGAAATGAGAACGAAGTGGGTGAATGAAGTGGCAGGAGCAGCTGCGAGAGTAGTAGTGAGTTGTGGGAGGAGGGGCACATACCCGTAATGGGACTTGCCCACTTTTTCTGGCACATACCCATTTACGATCTATGAAAACTTCCCGAAAAGAAAGATTTCACTAAGAACAGTGTTGCTTTTAAACAAAGCATTAATATATGAGGCCATTTTTCGCGCCCCCGATTGCAAGCCATTGGTAAATGAAAGTGATACAAATTAGCAACGTATCGAGTTTTTACTGTATCCTTTCTGAATTTGTCGAGAGGAGTTATCGGGACTTGTCACGTGCACCGAATGCTTCTCCTTGCTTTCTTCTGAACTAGTGACGGGGAAGCCACGCAAGGAGATAGGAAATAGAAAAGCTACATCAGCGTGCATCATGAAACGCATTCGTATGCTCATAGTGAGATTCCAGAGCATGCTAGTGCTGCCACTGTCCAATTTTAGCACACTACATAGTGTGGTGCTGGCATGCAGCAGCACCCCCCAAGGCAAGAAGTACGTCTGATCCAAACGCTGCTCTCGATTTATGCCTGCAACCAACCAACAGCAGAAATTGCCAAAACGATGCAATCTAGCGGCTGCTGACAGTTTCGAAGAGAGTGAGGACAGGCATCTGTACGAAGAGAGGGCACTTAAGAAAGTAGAAATTCCACGCTCTGCTTGTTGATTCTATGGGCAGTGCACGACCAGAAAACTTGGCTGCACTACTCATAGCAGTGTTTTGCACAACCTTCACAAAAACCAGGAGATAATAAAGCCAGGGAAGGTAAAATACACATTAGTCTGTACTGTTTTAAGGGTACTACAATCATTGGGACATAGATGCAAAAAAAAAATGAAGCAGACAAAAAAAGACCGTGCCACCTGCTGGAACCAAGCATGCAACCTTTGGATTACGTGCTCAATGCTCTTACACTAACTGCCAGTGGCAAGCTGTCTAAGCTGTCTTTTAGTCCATTCAATTTTCTTCCCACCTACTTCACAATTCTTATAGTACAGTTAAAACAGTACAATTAATGTGCATTACACCTTTCATTTTAGCTTCATTATTTGCTGTTCTATATCAAGGCTGTGCCAAAAAAAGGAACGAGCTCTAGAAAAAATTCTTTTCGTCCATTCATAGCAGTACTTGTCCTTCACACCATGTTTTTTCCGCCAAGCACAAGGTGTCATTTAAAACCCCCTGAAAAATATGTCCAACATCTGAAATAAGACACATGCACATCAAGACAAAAATGAGACGCAAAGGATACTGATTTGCAGGACAGTGGGTCCCTGTGGTCCAAGAGCTCCCAGCGTCGGTATCCTTCCCGAACAGAAAGGTGGCACACCACCCGTGCTCAAGGTGCTTCTGGTATCCAACTAGCAGTGGTTGTAACAGAAGAGAAAGAAGGAAATACATCAGTCAAGAACAACAACACTAAACACGCGGCAGCGGTTGCGACAGAAGAGAAAAAAGGAAATGCAGCAGTCAAGAACAACAACACTAAACAGAGTCGGCGAGTCGTGAAGGCCTTCTCACAAAGAGAAGGCCCATGCACAGAAAGCTGCAGCGCAGACAATGACAAATTGAACAGATGAGAGTGACTATACAAATGCAGTTTGATGACGCATGCAAACGCACTTGGTAAGAGAAAAATTCCGATCCACATGCCTGTACCGTGAAGCCACGGAAGAAATCCATGCGGACTCCTCAAAGATTTCTTTCTTTGTAGCCTCTAGGTACAGAAAGTGCCAAAAGTTTAGAGGCCACTAAGTCTGAGAAAACTCTATATTTCATAGTGATTCATAATTTTTTCTGGTTGAACGTACAGTAGCACATCGTGCACGAGCAGCAGTTTTTCACGTGCACTTTCGCCATATGACTGAATGAAGTTCCAAAGGGGGTTAAGACCAGTGCATACTCACAAAGCACACGGCCACAAAATAATCTTTTGCAACTTCATTACATCATATGGAGCTGACAGAAAGAAGAGACACCGCTGCACACGATAGTTAGAAACTTGGGCGACTGTACATGCGTTGGGCATGTTTCGAACAGGCCAGAAATCCAGCGACAGCTGTCCGACAAAGCACTGGGAATATTAAGCTTTTTCTCGAAACTTGTGGCCTCTAAACTTTTGATATTCCCTGCCCAAATGGATCGACAAAATATTTTCTTCCTCTCATAAACCGTTCTCCACCTGGTAGGCTTCTGCAGATCTAATTTGCTCTATTTAGTCTATGTGCTTCGCATGGTCGACTAATTCATGCTGGGAAGCTTGATAGGGTATTCTCGTGGCGAGCTCAGATGAAAGATTGACCTCCTTTGAAGGGCAGAAGGCATCAAGAGAGAATGTCAAAGAGAAAAATTTTGCATTCTTCCTCAGGGACAATGCAGAATAGAAAAAGTAATATGACACTCAAATTATCTTCCCTCTCACAGCATGTCAGTGAAAAATTCTTCCGAGTGTATACTTCCGGGAGACATAAAACACATTACGAGTTTTTAATACCAACTGCTATGAATGATTCAAGGCAGTCTTTAAAGAGAGCACCAACATGACCAACTTTAAAGCTGCCACCTGGACTATCAATCACACATCACTTGCAGAGCACTAAATCGAACACTGGCTATCGGCACATGCAGAGTGTGAAACTAAGAGGCGAAAAGTGAACGACACCATGCCCCGGTGCGTGTGCCTCGCAGTGCCTCTAAGCCTCTGTCTGATGTCGTGCTCGCCTACTTACAGCATCTGGGAAGTGGCTTTTCTAGTGTGAAATGATTTCTGGCTTGTTCTGCAGGCTGAGGACGTAAAACAAATATAGCATGAAATATAGACCAAATAATTTTCAGTACAACGAAAAAGTAATTAACTGCACTTACAGCTGATTTTCAGGAAACGAAATTGCTGCCTTTTAATATGGCTGATTTTATACTTGAATTCTTGAAGTAAATGAGACTCCTGATAACTGGAACGAATTTACCTGGTCCCATCAGCTTACGTTTAGTCAGAGTCTATTGTACTTATTTAGTATTTAAAAATCGCAAGACGCTTTAGAAACAAATCGGCCATCACAACTGTCCACAGTGCCACCACATACCAGACATGCTAGCAGACGCAGGGGGCTTTTCCTTGCCTGACTAATGACTTGTCTCCAAATTAAGTCCAAGACAATATGCGAAGACTGGACATCTGTACACTGGCTATGCCATCTACGTAAAAACCTGCCTCAGTAAAAATTTTATGGCACGGTCTGTATTGTTATAAAAAAAGTTAACAAATTGTCGTTCACTTACAACCTAGGATCCACACCGCTCACCAAAGTAAACCAAAATAAATAGCTTGGAATCACAATAACCAGTTACCTAAGCTGGAATAACCATATTTACAACATCTGTAACTCTTCTTTAAAGAAACTTTGTATCCTCAGGCACAAACTAAAACATGCTCCTCGTGACACTAGCTAGACTTTTGGCTTACACATCACTAACCAGACCAAAACTCGAATATGCTTGCATCGTATGGGACCCCTACACAAAAACTAACATTAATGCATTAGAGATGACAATACCGAGCAGTTAGGTTAATTTTCTCTAAATATAGAATACATGACTCTCCCACAGCCCTAATAATACATCATAATATTCAGACTCTACAACTCCGAAGGAGAATACACCGGTTCAAATTTCTTTTCCTACTTAAAAACAATGCTTCTCTCTTAACCCACAGGCTTATGTGTCCCCACTTGCAGCACGTCGAACAAGGCATCATCATGATTTTTCTCTAACACCATACAGCACCAGAAATAACCTATTTAAGTTTTCCTTCTTGCCATGAACTGTAAACGATTAGAATAACCTGGAGGTATCCCAAATAATAAACGCAGATTCCATTGAACGTATATCTATTTAATGTTATCAAGAATGTCACATTGATTAACCCTTCATTCCTTAGTTTTACTGTTACTGTTCTTGAGTATTTAAAAAGTGCTGTTGATGTATTCAGTATTGTAAGAGTATTATCTAATGTTCTTGCATGTGCATTATGTTCTCTATTATTACCTTTGTTTTGTTCTGATGCTATTGTTATTCTTTTTTTTTCTTTTGGTCTTTTAAATTTGTCTTATTTCGTAGTGGTTTCTGTGAATGTATGTCTTTATGTGCTGCTTTCCTGCATGGACCCAATCAGGGTCTGCAGTATTTTGTAAATAAATAAATAAATATTAAATAATAATAATAAATTCTACCAACTCTTGATATTATTAACATTTGTTTTTATACACAAAGGAACGATGCAAAAAGCACTACAGTTTTCTTAGTCATGCTGGATTTCAATATTAGTAATTGTTGGCAACACTCACGGGCAGGCAGGATACCGGGAATTCGTAGTTGACGCTCGCATCAGACAGTAGCCGATAGATGAGCAGCAGCAGCGGGCCTTCTGGGCTGAGGAAGCGGCGAACCTCATTGAATCCCTGTTGACCGTGAGTGATGTTCTGCAGGCTCCAGCCAACATTGGCCCCAAAGCCGAACACATGCTCCAACACTGTCGGCAGGTAGTGCTGCAGTTCCTGCAGTGCGTAAAAGAAAAATTCATTCTCGCCTGGCAGTTTGATGTAATGCGTGGTTGAGTCGTTAGCCAAATGCTTACAAGCTCCCATCAAGCATAGTGAAAACAAAGTATGCTTTACTTACTGCTCTCCCCAAAAAATGCAGAGTGCCATCAATTCAACAGGAGTTCTCAACAACGTGAACATCTAACCATATGTCCTGATCCTGGTTAGGTGAGGTGACAGTTTCCAGTGGCTACAGTGCCTCTTCAAAACTCCTTTTCAGATTACTCCTCAAGAACATCCTGAACAGCAACAGATTAGTAGTAGAGTGTGTGTGTGTGTGTGTGCGTATGTACCAAAATTTTTTTGTTTTTTAGATTTGTAACATAAAGGTCATTCACTGCCTTTCAGCATACTTTCAGGTGGACATTTATAATTTTTTTTAAATCCAGAACACATCAGGATTCAGCCTACATTGTAACTCTACTCCTTTCAGTGCTCGGGAATCAAGTCTACAAAATATGCGAAGCTGCAGAATGCCACAACTATTGCGCCAGCATTTGCATTGAAGTGAAGAAAGTGACTTTATACTTTTTGAAGCATACTGTGTAGGCAAAATGCAGAGCATGGGCACTTTTCCCTTTGCCGGTAAAGTAGTAAGATGCCTCATTATCTTGGAGGCTTTTATTCTGGCACAACCGCTTCTCCCGAAGTCTCGGGCTCTACAAAACAGCAGAGGGCAGCCCAAAAAAATTAAAATGCGAACTGTGCGGCTGAAACTGCATCGCCACAGGGCCTAGGCGCCGTATTATAGGGCAAAGCCAATCGACGAGCTCAGTGGTGCGTAACATTGCCCACAGGCAAGCTTTCATCAGACTGTGCGAGTGAAGGAGATTGGTCAGGCGAGGAAAACAGGCGCGGGATTGTTTTTCAAAATGGAGGACCAGTGCAGCCCTGTAATATTCGGCAAATGTGATCGACGTGGTTTTCTATACGAATTGGCGAACTTGTTTGGGGGGTGCGAAAAAAAAAAAGGCGGAGCCTGTTTACTGGACCTGTACAGCTTGTCGCATGTAATACAGTCGAACACGGATATATCGAACCCACATATGTATAATTTTTGGATATAGTGTTGAACTCTTAAGTTATCTTCTTAAAATTCTTTTGTAAAAGTATAGAAATTTGCACGTTTATATCGAACGGTATTTCACCCACCTTCAGATATACCGAACACCGCGTGAGCTGGAAGGTGGTCATGTGGAAGGTGAACTCCGTGACAAGCGACTCCGCGCGAGTTTGAAGGTGCACTTTGGCACTCGCAGCGCTTGGTGACTTCCGCGTGGCACCACGCCTCCACGAAATCCCCAAACACTTGAAAGAAGAAAAGGGCGAGAGGACTCGTAGTCCTTTTTTTTCGTTTCTCTTTCTCTCTCTCATGTTTTCTCCGTCGTCGGCTCAAAGAGCAGGAAGAAAGGAGCTGACGTCCTCCTCCTTTCGCCTTTTCTTTGATATTTTTGTTAGTGTTTTGAGAGTTTTGATTAGCCAGCCACAGCTTGTGCCTTTTGCTGTTGCCCTCAAAGGTGGCCATCATCTCGCAAGTTGTCGCGTCGCTTACGTACCGCCGCATGTGCAGCATTTCTCTTTTGTGTGAGTGGCGTGCAAAGCCATTGCGGACTCCTGAAATTATCGACTTCCCGTGTAGCTATGGGCAGCGTCAAGAAGCGCAAGGCCCTTGACTTAGCGACAAAGATGAAGGCTATTCAGGTTGTTGAGGTGGGCGAGAAATGTTCGACCGTCGCGAATGACTTCGGGATACCACGGAGCACTCTTGAGTACCTTGTTGAAGAACAAAGTAGATATCAAGGCAAAGGCGGCAAAGCAGCGAATGTCGGGAGCCTATCATGTGCGCGTTCCTGCCCACGGGAATTTAGAAAAGGCACTCTATGCCTGGTTTTTAGAAGCGCGTGCAAAGAACATTCCTGTGGACGGCCCAGCGCTGATGGCCAAAGCCAAATTGTTTGCCGCTGTACTCTGCGAAACAACCTTGCCGAAAACACCAAGTGGCTTCGCCATTTTAAGCAGAGCTACAACGTCGGCAAAACCATTTCTGACGAAAGCGAAGCTGTCAGCAGCCAGGACATCCAGCAGTGGATGACGAAGAAGTGGCCGGAAATCTCCACGAAGTTTTCTACCACGGAGACCTTCAATGCCTGGCGAAACGTGAAGACGGACACAGTGGTCAACGGCTTTGGCGAGGCAGGCTTCAAGACGGCATAACTTGCTGAAACCGGTAAAGACTACGATGACGAGTGCGTAGACGCGTTCCACGGGTTGTCGTCTCGCTTACCGGCCACAGTTCCACGCGAAGTGTCTGCAGACGATTTCGTGAAAGTGGACTGCAATGCCAAGGCCATTGCGAGCCTCACTGGTGGGGACATAACAGCTACAGTCACAGCGACCCAGGTTGCCCCGACCGACAGCTCATGTGACAAGAAGGATCGTCCGGACGAGGCGCTGGCTACACATGCGTACTCTGCCACCGAAGTGGTGGCAGCGTTCAGTGTCATTCGCCATTATATTGGCCACATGGAGGAAACCGGGCTGTCGCACATAGACAGCCTTAATAAGATCGATACTAGCATCTTCAACTTCATTCAAAAACCGAAAAACAGGCCAAGATAAGCAATTTTTTTCGTGCAAATAAATAATTCTGTTGTGGCTTGGTGCGGTATTAGTTGTCATTCTTGAATGCGCCTACTGTAGGTGATGGTGCGCTACAGGTAAGCTCTCGGGTCCTGTATTTTTTTTTAATATCGAATTTCGAATTTTTCCTATACTGAACTCATTTGCGATCCCCTTTGAGTTTGATATATCCATCTTCGACTGTATATTGTTACGGGTAACGTATTTAATAAGTTAAATACGATGCACTGTGCTCGGCGAACAAGATGGCGACAGTTCATCAACAACCAGCCACCAACGTCGTCTTTCTCTTTCTTCCAGACAGGCTGTGCCGGCGGTTGCGTATCATAACCCCCCGGCGGTAGAAGCACCGTCTCGGTGCTTGAGCAACTCGGATGCGGTAGAAGGAGGGTGATAGGGCTTGAGTCGGGCTATGTGCACGATGTCACTCGAAGGTGACGATGATGACGTTGAATCGGCTGGCACGATCTCGTATGTAACGTCAGTCACCTGGCGAACGACGCGGTATGGTCCAGTGTAGCGTGACAGCAGTTTTTCAGAAAGCCCTACACGCCGAGTGGGGGACCAGAGGAGGACAAGGGAACCCGGTGAAAAGTGCACGTTTCGATGATGGGAATCGTAGAGCTGTCTTTGGTGCTCCTGTGAAGCCTGCAGGCGGCTGCGGGCGAGTTGGCGTGCGTGGTCGGCTCGCGCGATGGCTTCGCCGGCATACTCCGTGACCGAGGGCAGCAAGGTGTCAAATGGTAGGGCGGGCTCTCGGCCGTATAGAAGATAGAATGGTGAATAGCCGGCAGTGTCGTGACGTGACGAATTATATGCGAACGTCACAAATGGTAAATGAACGTCCCAGTCCTGGTGGTCGGCCGCTACGTATTTGGAAAGCATGTCGGTTATGGTGCGGTTGAGGCGCTCCGTAAGACCGTTCGTTTGCGGATGGTACGAAGTGGCAAACTTGTGCTTGGCCGAGCAAGAGCGCAGGATTTCTTCAACGACAGCTGATAGGAAGGTGCGGCCCCGGTCAGTGAGAAGTTGGCGTGGAGCTCCGTGTACTAAAATAATATCATATACCAGAAAGTCCGCCACATCGGTTGCGCAACTCGTCGGAAGCGCTCGTGTGATAGCGTACCGTGTCGCATAGTCAGTGGCGACAGCGATCCATTTGTTGCCTGAGCTGGAGATCGGGAATGGGCCAAGCAGGTCGAGGCCAACTCGAAAAAAAGGTTCAAAGGGAATGTCGATCGGCTGAAGGAATCCAGCTGGTAGCGAAGATGGCTTTTTGCGGCGCTGGCAGGGTTCACAAGCGGCGACGTAGCGTCGAACAGAGCGGGCAAGACCAGGCCAAAAGAAACGACGACGTACACGGTCGTATGTGCGAGAGACGCCCAAGTGGCCCGCCAAAGGAGCGTCATGAAGTTGGTTGAGAACAGTCGCACGAAGATGTGCTGGTATGACGGGGAGCAAGTCATGGCCATATGGATCGAGGTTACGGCGATACAGGATGCCGTCTTTTACCAAGAACATTTGTAGAGATGCGTCGTGAGGCCTTGACTCAAGCTTGCTAATGATGGTTCACAGGGAAGCATCCAGGCGTTGTTCGTGGCCAAGGTTGAGTAGCTGCATCACAGACAGAAGGTCTGGAAAGGTGTCATTATGGGCAGCCTCTTCCACAGGGTAGCGTGATAAGCAATCAGCATCTTGGTGTGACCGCCCTGTTTTGTACGTTACGGTGAACGTGTATTCTTGTAATCGTAGGGACCAACGAGCGAGGCGTCCTGTGGGATCCTTGAGTGAGGCCAGCCAGCAGAGCGCGTGATGGTCGGTAACTACCCGGAATGGACGCCCGTATAAGTATGGGCGAAACTTGGCGACTGCCCACACGAGAGCGAGACACTCACGTTCCGTGATTGAATAGTTGCGCTCGGCTGTAGATAGCAGGCGGCTTGCATATGCTATAACACGGTCATGTCCGCGTTGATGTTGCATTAGCATTGCTCCGATGCCATGCCCACTAGCGTCAGTGCGAACCTCGGTTGGAGCTGATGGATCGAAATGGGCTAAAATCGGCGGTGTTGTAAGGAGCGTCGTGAGCTGGGAAAAAGATGAGGCTTGATCAGCACCCCAGAAAAACGGGGTGTCCTTCTTCAGGAGGTTTGTGAGTGGGCGTGCAATGATGGCGAAGTCCTTAACAAACCGTCGAAAGTAGGAGCACAAGCCCACAAAACTGCGAACGTCCTTTGTTGACTTCGGAACAGGAAAGTCCGTGACGGCGCGAATTTTCTCGGGATCCGGGCGAACTCCTGCGGCATCGACGATGTGGCCAAGTACGGTTATTTGACGACGAGCAAAGTGGCATTTCGACGAGTTCAGTTGAAGTCCGGCTCGACGAAAAACTTCAAGAATCGCCGATAAACGCTTGAGATGGGAGTCGAATGTGGGCGAGGAAAACGATAACGTCGTCTAAATAACATAAGCAGGTTGACCATTTAAACCCTTGGAGCAACGAGTCCATCATTCTTTCAAATGTGGCCGGCGCATTACAGAGACCAAAGGGCATAACTTTGAAGTGATAAAGTCCGTCAGGAGTGACGAATGCGGTCTTCTCACGGTCCATCTCATCCACAGCGATCTGCCAATAGCCAGATCGAAGGTCGATAGTGGAAAAATACGTAGCACCGTAAAGGCAGTCTAAGGCATCGTCGATTCTAGGCAACGGATAAACATCTTTCTTCGTAATTTTGTTGAGATGCCTATAATCTACACAAAAGCGCCATGTTCCATCCTTCTTTCTGATCAGGACGACAGGAGAAGCCCAGGGGCTACAAGAGGGTTCGATTATGTCTTTTGCAAGCATCTTTTCGACTTCCCGTTGTATGACGGTGCGCTCGGACGCGGAAACACGGTATGGACGTCGGTGAATGGGACTCGCGTCACCAGTATTGATGCGATGAGTACAACACTCGTTCGGCTTAAAGCCGTGCTGGCGAAGTCGAAAATGTCACTATAGGACTCTAGGACGTGACGAAGGGCTTCCGCTTGATCAGGAGCGAGGTCTGATGGTACCATGTGGTCAACGTCGACGCCCGATGAACGTGATAGAGTTGGTTCATTGTCTGAGGTGCAGCAATCATCCACTCTGAAGGGTTCAACCGTATGGTCTTGTAGAGCAGTAATTTCGGCCAGGGAGATACCTTGTGGAAGAATTTGGGCTGTGAGGGCGAAATTGACAATAGGAAGGCATGCGCGGTTTTCAACGATTGTCAAAATGGTGTGCGGAACAGCGACACCATGCGTAAGCACCACGGCATGAATTGGTGCCACCATGTATTCACCGTCAGGTACAGGTGGTGTAGAGAAGAGGTCGATATGTGTGACACAGTTAGGCGGAAGGCGTGCGAAATCAATGCAGCAAAGGCGACTTTGGGGTGGGTTGGTCAGATCAGAAAGTAGAGGCATTTCAAGGTCAAGACAGCCGGCTGAACAATCTATAAGGGCCGAGTGAGCGGTGAGAAAATCCATGCCTAGAATTACTTCATGAGGACAGTTTTCTATAACGGTGAAAAGAACAGCAGTGCTTCTATCGGCGATAGTCACACGGGCGGAGCACATGCCGATAATCGCGGCAGTTCCCCCGTCGGCGACTCGAACGGCTCGGTTCAAGGCAGGTGTGACAACTTTCTTTAGGCGGCGACGAAGAGCAGCACTCATTATGGACACATGCGCGCCAGTATCGATCAACGCGCGCACAGGTACATTGTCTAAAGTAACGTTTAACAGATTCCGGGTGGTCGGTAATGTCACACGAGGATTTCTTGCAGAGGTCGTCGTCAATGCAGCTTCACCTCCAGAAGCTGCACTGCCTAGTTTTCCGGTCGGGGCGCTGCGAATAGGTCGGAGAGGCAGGACGGCGTTGTGGGGGCGAACGAGATTGACGGCGAGCAGGGGATGGTGAGCGGGCGTAGCGAGGTCTCGTCAGAGGTGCGACAGAATCAGAAGATGTGGTCGGCATAGGGGAACCAAAATCAAATGTTGAGGACGACTGGTGGTCAGAAGTGGCTTGGGTAGGAGGCCCGTAGCGTGCCGGCGGAGCCCAGTGATTGCGGCAGTGGCGAGCAATATGACCAACACGTCGGCAGTTGAAGCATATGGGCTTGTCGTCCAGTGTACGCCATTCGGACAAATTGCGCTGTCGAGAGTAGTTGGAACCATATCGAGGAGCGGATGGACGACGATAAAAAGGCTCGGCAGAGTAGACTGGTTGAATGGGGTGTAGGCCGACATTCGATAATTCTTGACGAACGACGGCTTGTATCAGTGAGATAGTGGTCGGTGAAGGATCAGGCGTTGGAAATGGAGTAGCTACTGGTTGGGCTGCCTCGACCTCACGACGAATGATGCGGGTGAGGTTGTCACATCGGGGAACTTGGCGGACGGAGTCATCACACGAGGAAGTAGCAGCTGTGTTCGGCAGGCGCGTGATGCCGTGGGTGACGCGGCGGGCTTTAGCCTGTTCTAGACGGCGGCATTCTGTCAGGATCGTGTCGATGGTCGTGACATTATTAAAAACCAGCAGGTTGAAGGCATCGTCAGCAATCCCTTTGAGGACATGGTTAACTTTTTCGTCTTCTGACATGCGCTGATCGACCTTGCTACAAAGCGCCAAGACGTCAAGAATGTATGACACGTACGATTCAGTAGACGTCTGGGCGCGAGTGGCGAGAGTCTTCTTGGCAGCGAGCTGACGACCAGATGAATCGCCGAAAAGATCACGGATCTTCGATTTGAAAAGATCCCAACTTGTGATTTCGGCTTCGTTGGTTTCGAACCATGTCCGCGGCGTGCCGTCGAGGTAGAACACAACATTGGCCAGCATGAGCGTCGGATCCCAGCGGTGGGTAGCACTGACTCGCTCGTACCGGTGCAGCCAGGAGTCAAGGTCGATGGTGCCGTCAGCGGAGAAAGTTCCAGGATCCCGCAGGGGTGGCAGGGTGACGTAGGTTGTTGACTCGGATCGAGAGACCGGTGGGGATGAGGCATTGGCAGTTGAAGTAGCCGAAGAGTCCCCGGTGTTGCGACCGCTGCGCGTCTCCATCGAGGTACGGGAGTCGTCCACCTCCAGCAATAATGTTACGGGTAACGTATTTAATAAGTTAAATACGATGCACTGTGCTCGGCGAACAAGATGGCGACAGTTCATCAACAACCAGCCACCAACGTCGTCTTTCTCTTTCTTCCAGACAGGCTGTGCCGGCGGTTGCGTATCAATATGCAGGCATACTCTATGAGGTTGCTACCCGGTAGCTTATGAAGGTGTGCTCTGTTCAATTGGCTATTCTCAGCTTCGAAAAGGCTCTTCAAACATCGAACATGGCCATTTAAAATCTGAGTTTATTTAACTTTTACCAATTTATCCAAAAACGTGGAGCCCTAGTCAATTAGCAATTAATCAAACTTTCAGCATCAAGATATGCAGCGGCTATCTCAAAGCCTTTACTTGTCCCACTTGATTCAAATGAGGGCGAAATGTGTTACAGCGAAAACGCAAAAACTGCCAATTACAAGCACCACAACTTCAGAAATGAAGAAGCACTGCCAAGCAAAGCTATTGCAATTTTCCTGAAGTTGGCACGCAGTGAGACAAAAACGGTGAATAAATGAGCATGGCAAAATGCTGCCATTAATGAGGACGCAAAACTTATGCATGTGATTCGCGACAGGCATGTTAGTGATGCATTAATGATACAAGGATCAGCTATGGCCAATCAGCACAATGCAAGTATTCATGTGTTAATTGTAGTAGTAGAAATGGCTCTGTACACAACTGACAGAAGTAGAAAGTGCGGTGAAACAGCCTACTACTACGTTCTATATTTCATCTAGCATAGCCAAATGAATGCAATATAAACTTAGACCAAGGTATGCTTAGAGGGCATTAGCTGTTGTCTCTAACTGTAGTGAAACAATAACAACGTAAATTGATAAGAAATAAAGTGGTCTAAAACCACCACACTTTCCATTGACTGGTTTACACCTACAACATTCAAATTATGTGTAATATGCTCTACCAACTGAGCTATGCCAGAAGCCACTCACCAGTTCACTTCATTGGGCTTTTATGTACGAGTAATCCCTGGCAGTGTTAGTTAGCTCCACTCATTGCCAAGGCAGTGAGTGTGGCACACACTAGTAATAATTACTACATTTCAAGACAACAATTAGTGTCTCCTATGCTTTCCTTCACCTAACTGTCTGTTAGATTGTCTACCAAAGAAAAAAAAACCTCTAAAAAATTGCCCCTTGACTCATCCACCTAGCATAGCATCATTTATGCTAGATCAACTATGCATGTGAGCTTCTTTCTTGCAATTTCCTGTCAACTGTCCTTTCGTGTCAACTTCTTACAATTTGCGTAGCTGGCGCTACACCCGAAAAACCCGCAACTATGCACACCTACTAGAGCAACAAGTATGCCGTTCCATCATGAGCTGTCAATGAATTACTGACAGCACAGCTGCTGAAAGGCCTAAGACTGGTTAATGTGCATAGCATAAAATAAACTTCCTGTAATTCAGACGGGTGGTGCTTCGATGTAAACGTTCGAGAGAACTTGTGTCTCCTGAACCTTCGGTTTAAGCACCCAGGTGAGGTGGCCATGCTATACTGATCATACCATAGCATTAACCTGACACTTTTAGCTTTACATCACTTACTCCATATTCACAGAACCAGCAGACTCACCTTAAAAGGCAACTCGTGAAACAGGCGGCTCAACTCTAGGCACCGCTTCTCCAATGGGTATGTATCCAATGCAGCCACTAGGCAGCCCTGAGAGCGAACAAGCAAACGCAACACTGAGACAATACCCCTTGTACACCCAGTGTGAGTGCTGTACGAAAGAGATGAGGGGAAAGAAAAAAAAGCCTTAACAGTATATCTTATGCATTAATCTATGATGAGTCAAAGGCAAAAGCTATCTGCTTTTTCTTCTTACTTAATGTATTGATCCTCCCATGCTTCACCTCACCTAGTTTTGCACTGCTTCCAAGATTAGAGCAATAGCAAGTTTTCTGCACATCAGCTGGTTCCACACTGCCTCAGTGGTCAGGTCTTTACTTTGCTTCTTTTCTGGTTAGCCCTCGTTTGGGCTAACCGCCCAAAGGAGGGCGCTACAGGACTCTGCATAGTCGAAGTTGAAATGTGGCTGAAGGCCATTTGTGACAGCCCAACGAAAGGTCAGGTATAGATACGAACTATAACACCTTAGGTCAAATCAAGTTTTCTCTGTCTTCGAGGCTGCTCTGTAGGAGGGTGGCAGCTTTCTGGGGCACGATAAGACACTAAATATTTGATCGTAGGCTGAGGTTAAAAGTGGCTAGGACTGCATCACAGTGCATGAATATGTGTATTGAAAGTGGCCGCGACAGGGTGGACAAACTACTGTTTGTGGTGGCAAGGTCGGGATGAAATGGACTGGAGGTCTTCAGCACAGTCCAGGAGACGTTAGAAATTGCTGTCGCTGAGCTGGCGGCTGCATTCATGTAAACAAGTCTCCAGGAAGCCAGAGAGGACTGCTATACACCAGCTCAGCTGTAGACTGTAGAACACTACGTCTGCTCAGACGACAATCCCTAAAGACACAGGAGTACTAGGGGCAAGGCATCAACCTAGGTGGCACTATTGAGGCGGGTAGTAAAGGTCAGAAGGGTGAAGGACGTGGTTGCACCATTGAGACGTCCTGCAGATATGAGGCTTGCAATCAGGGCACACTCCCAGAAAAAGGGGAAAAAAAAGATGAAGCGTATGTGACGACAAATTTTGCAAAAGAAAGTTTTGCGTTTTTGTCATTAATAGTTCTAAATTCATCTTTTATGGCCTTGTGACTATCTGGTGTTCTTAAACATCCTACATTTCAACGCTAAGTCACAAAATGATTTTGAAGTGAACCACTGATTATTTCCAACTCTGCTCAATGTTTGTTCAGTGCTGTGTTGACATTTTAGATTTTAAAAGTTTATAAAACATGCACTTGTGCCTAGTTGCAAGCCAATAAGACAGATATTATACCTTGGCATTGCTAACAACATCAGTCATGCTGCACGTTTATTAGGACATCACTAATCTGACCACTCATAACTATTTTCTTTGCATTCTGTCCTGCATTACCACAAGTTTCGCATAGTTTCACTGTCTGTCAGGTCAAAAAACACCTCCACATGGCATATGGTACGCTACAATGTTCTGGAGATAGCACTAAAACTCGCCCAGTTCATAGTGACATACAGATTTCTCACATCACTCAACTTTATTGAGCAATATTCAGACTATGGATTGTGCAGAAAACACTGTCAGCACCAAGAAGTGAAATTATTGAGACGTTCATGAAAACCACTCTACATGCCAGAATGCCTTCTTCAAACATAATGGCAATGTGCGATAAATGTATCGAGGTACAGCTGCACACAATATTATAGTGGCAGAAGAACATACCATAACTAGTTGGAAGAACAAAGACTTAAGAACAATCTCTGCACATTCAAAAACCATTCTTGCCTTATGTCCTCTTGATACTTTTCTTAAAAATTTATACCGGGAACCAGGTGGGAACAGCCGGCATTTATGCTTATGGTCACTGTAGGTAGCAACACATCGCTCAGGGAGGTTGCCAGGTGGATGCGCAGAGGCTATGTAAAACTCATCAATTTGTGCCCGAGAGTGCTGAGCACAGGCACCAGCACTACCGAGGACAGTAAACCGACTTTGCAATGCCGTTTGTGGTGATCAATAGCTGCACTGGCCAATCATCAGCAGTGAAAGGCAATCTGATTTATTCATTTTTTTCTTGGCCTCTTGGGCACGCTAATTTCACAAATTCAGTGCTACCCAAGTTACATGTGCACTCCTGGCTCCCTGCTGACCATTTCAAAGACAGTTTATAGACCACACTTCTGCCAGACAACACAGTACTGAAGGAAGCATAAATACAATTCAGCTACAGCCGTTACTTCTGTAATATCTTTCAGCAGAGTTGCTCTGTGCTCTAGCTTGCCCCTTTTCAGGAATACACTGTCTCACGTGTCCACGACTTGACGTGTGGAATCTAAAACTGCTTCAAATGGCTTACTTTTGCACAAGACAGCAAATGCAATAAAACTTGGCATGAATATTGGTACACCACAGAACACAAGAATAGCAGGCTACAGCATAAAGCCGCATCACCAACACCAGATGTATGTCGCCACTTAACTCTGTCAAAAGAACAGACCACCAATTTTTACCGTACCCAAATTTAGTGCAATAAAAAGCTTACGTCAGAGTGTCTAATCATGGAATCGTAACGCAGAAAAGAACCCTGAAACTCTTTGCAGTCAAAGCCTTTTCCATAGACAGCAACTGTGAAGACTCGCTGCAACACAACACACTCGCTGCAAACAGTGGTACGTTAGCAGTAAAGAGATTCACGTTGATGCTGCAACGGTTTACTGCATGCAACATGGATCGATATGCCGCCCTAATTGCAACAACAGTAATGCCACAGTTCAGCATCAAATCCTTTTACCTGAAGAGCATCACAGAATAGCATGGATTAAACAATAACACACTACCCTAATTGTGAGCAATTATTTATAGTGCACATAAAAGCATCAGCATCAGCTCTATAGTACAGCACCAAGCTTATCCCGTACGGGTAGGCGTACGGGTGACATATCCGTGTTTTTGATACTTTTGAATGCAATTTAAAAATATAAACCTACTGAAGTTGCAAAAAGCATGCTTGAATGTGTCGCTTTAATTTGCGGTCTCTTAATTTCGATTAGGACCTATTCACACAGTCTTGCCAGTTGCCGGTCCCTTTAACTGCTACCAAACCGTTCTGTATGAATGTAGCTCACCCACTTGACAGAAAGCCTTTCCTGCATTGTCAGAATTTCAAACCATTCTCTGAATGCTGATCATTTTCACCAACGTTCTTGATTGTGTGAATTATAATTGAGTAGCCGGCCTTTCTATCCATGAAAAAATCACAGTGAGCTTCATAGCGGTAATTATACTTGTGTGTACTTCAATTTTTTTTAATGGCAGCATGCTTTTTAGATTAGACATGAGAAATATTCAATACCAAATGTAAAAATAAATAACCACAATACAGGGTAACCTAAAGAATGCCGTAACAGCTAAGGGGTTACGCACCGAACTTCGGTGCCTCGTGCGCCAAAACCATGACACAATAACGCACTAAGAAAATGAAGGGAAAAGTTGGGGGTTTCCAAATGCGCGCAGTTATCGGCTGCACACGCAACTCCAGTCACGTGCCTCTTAAACTAACCCACAGCTGTGGCCAGAATTTACTTCGCGACCTCGTTAGCACCGTGGGCTGCGCTTGAAGCACAGAGGAAGTGGCTTGAAGACTGCCGAACGGCTGCCTTAACTTTGCAGGAATCATTTTAAAAAGCTCGCACGAAAACATATTGTCAGGTATACTCCGGATGATTGCGCATTGTGTCGGGGGGACAGCGATTCCGAAAGTAACTTCCAACACTGCCACGCTTCTCGGAGCCTAATTTCTGTAGAATTCTGTCATATACCACTTCAGAACAACCTTTCGTTCCGTAACAATACGACAAGTTGGCTTCGCGCAGCAGAACAACGTGCGCACAATCTTGTAGATAGTCTCTACATTCACAAGGCTACTGCCCCCTTTCAGACTGGTTACGGAAAAAACATGATACGTAATGCTAACAAACGCGTCCTCAAACGAAAGCTTGCCATGCTCGGTCAAAAACAAAACTGCATTGAACTACGTAAAGCATGTCGATCCTTGTATTTTTCTTTTTCCTTTTACACGAGATGCTTCGAAGTGAAAGCACTGCGGAAAGACACGGCACAGGACGAAACTGTCACGCAGGGCACGTGCTTCCAACAATTTAGACTCAATACGATATACCACAACAACACTGAATTTCCTTGGCGCGACTGCTCATGCAGCTTGGCTAGCGCATGGTTAACGGCCGGTGAACTTTTAAATCAAAGACAACGTTTTGCGAAAACGGGTTTCGTTTGGACAGGCGCGCGACCGTCAGTCTTTATTCATTAAAACTGCACAAATTCTACTCGAAACGAATGAAAGGCAACACGCGTTACGAATGCGAAACGAGCGAGTTGCCGAGCGTGACAGTACCTGTTGCTGGTACAACAAAGGCGGCGAGGCATCGTTCGAGAATATTTGTAGGGCGTTCCTCCACCCCATGTCGAGTACCCTTTGAGCACGGCTAGGTGTCACCAAAACATAACGACTGTGGCGTGGGCGGCACGCACTAAATTTGTTGCCTGCCGTAAGCAAAGCCGGAAATCCCGTCAGAGACTGGTGACGGCCAATGAGTGTGCTGCTCGTAGCTGCGTTTAAAGGTAGCCTCCTTTTTCGGAATGCCAGCGGCAGGTTTGAATAGACCGCGATGTCCATTTGATCAGACTCAGTGTGGTTGTTGGGAGTTTTACGCGCAACCAGCGACCCTCTACGACGCAATTACAAGTATGAGGTTCCAGGCAAAATTTGCCAAAAAAAGGTAGGCCGAGCGGCAGGCAGTTGTCTTTACGGACAGCACGTGAATGCTACAAGGATCCACACTCGCAAGGTGCGGCAGCTATTGAAGCAGTGTTTGTAAGTTGGTTTAAAATAGTTTTATTCTCTCTTATGAGGGCGAGGAATTCGATAGCGAAGAAGAAGGAGGAAAATGTGAAATTGTATACGCACCGAAAACTGAACCGCACCGCCTGCGGAACCCGCCATTGCAACGTTCACGCGTGTTTTGTTGCTACGCGCATAGTTGCCCGGTTGCGGCTTAAAAGTATGCTGAAATTAGCCAAATGTCATTCGCGAGTTTAAATTTTTTGCTAGACGTTCGTACTACGTTTAAATCTCTATTGTAAACTGAAATAAACATGCGTAATGTGCATCAAACTATGAGCTGGCCTTATCCCAGACGTATCGCTAACTGTTTGTAAATAGACAACGTCAGCTTAGAAATATGCTTGTAAGATGCTATACTTGAGGTTATTTCATTTATTTAACAGTGTTTAATTGGCACCTACATTGACAGTGTATTTATTTTAATGTGAAAATAAAATAAAACGCTGATACTACGAAAACATTACGCTACACTACAATTTCAAATTGTGTCATCGTTCATACTCCGGCATGGTCTAGTGGTTAGGATACCTGGCTCTCACCCAGGAGGCCCGGGTTCAATTCCCGGTGTCGGAACGCACTTTTTAATTTACTGTATCACATTTTTTTTTTAATTGACAAGTTTGGATACATGTATCGTCCTTTGCGGACCGAGCACTTTGTGTATAAGCACCCTGCAATGCAGTTTACGACATCTGATGGTAGCGCCAGAACACACAGCTAGCGAGTAGGCGCAGCAAAACCGATCCTTCCAATGCGTAGCCTAGCGAGTAGACGCAGCAAAACCGGACTTGTCCGAGCATATTATTTTCTTTTTTTAGTTTTGAGCAAAGGGTCACGGTTGATTATGTAAGCGCCCAGGAAGCCTTCTTTGAAAACGCGCCAAAAAAGGGCATTGACACTTCAGCGTCTCAATGTGTTCAGCGAGCGTTTCATTTTCTTGGTATTCCTGGCGGTCGGTACCAACAATGCTGAGGTGGCCCAAAATAGAGTTACTGTATATGCTACCTTTAGGTAGCATATGCTATCTAAAGGTAGCATATATAGTAACTCTAGCTCCAAAAGCTTCGCCGCGCCCTCTGGTCCACTGTCGGGTGCCTATAAGGAAATTCGCGTTTCTGCCTGGTGGAGGAGTCAAGACGATAGTTATAGCGCAAGAACAGAACGACGACAAAAAGACAAGAAGGACACGAGCGCTTTGTTGTCGTTTTGTTCTCGCGCTATAGCTATCGTCATGTCGTACCACTAGTTCAAATTGCCGCACTTCTAAGGTGGAGTCAAGTCGCACTGTACAGGATTCGGCTTGGCTTATTGTTCGAAAGAAAACTGCCGGAATCTTTTTTTTTTTTTCTGGTGGGGGGGGGGGGGATGCAATGATCGGCGCTTTCACCGAGTCGCGGGGGCTTAGAATCCCCACTTACACGGAGCTTCGTATGAAGCGAAGATTTTAACGCGATAGCGAATCTGCTCACTTTTGCAGATATTCCAGCGTCGGTGCCGGCGCCGACATCGTTGGTTGTGAGTAAAAAATCGTCATCTTATGCGTGACCTAAAAATCGAGAAAAATGCAATAAAAAATGAATACTCCTGCAACAGAATGGGGACCGAACCAGGGTTGTTTGGTACCAAATAGGCGGTCGAACCCTGGTCTTTTGCGTGGCAAGTGGATGTTCTACCACATGGCCACGCTTCTGCTTGTGACAATAGTGAAAACGACGTCTTCTGCATGCTTGAACTGGTATAGCGCATTATGGGGAAGAAGAAACGGCTGAGCAGACCGACACAAGAGGACCAGTTCAAGTACGACGAACCAACTCGCCCAATCTTCAACACTCGTCTTCTGCATGATAATGCAGTGAAAGTAGATTTCATGCTTCACAAACACGCGCGTCCTGTAGACATGCTTCACAATACAACATGAAATATTGCAGTATTAATGCGTGGTGCAAGCGTCCATTGCCAATAGTCGTCAGAATATGTGATTATCATATTGGCTTCACGGTTGAAAACCGGCGCATGAAAAGGTTTCATGCACTAAGTGTTTGAAGTACGCGCTATAGGAGCATGATGTCGCTATCGCGTTCAACTCCTAAAGGAGAAGCTTTAGGGCCCCCAATCATTCTTATTTTTTTAATCCCCGCAATATACGAAGTTAACGTAAGGAAGCACATTGAAGGGAAGGGGGTATACCAGGTGCATGCGCTTCAGCGTGCCTTGTAGATTGTCTCTCTGCTCGCCATGAGTTCTTCCTCTATGGTTGAGTGCTCTCAATAGACTTAAGCGCGTGCGAATGAACCCTGAACGCTGCCTTCCGAAAAGCTACCACATACATGTCACAACTATTGCGCACATCCCTGGCAAGCAGCAAATCAAGCAGCATGCTTTATGGTTTAATTGCGCCGGTCGTTCGTGTGTTAGGCGGTTCGGGCGTAGCCAAGAGGTGAGAGTTCGAACCCATTCCCTCGAAGTTTTTCAATTTTATTAATAATATTTGGGGTTTTACGTCCGAAAACGACGATATGAATATGAGAAACGAAGTAGTGGAGGGCTACGGAAATTTCGACCACCTAATGTTATTTTCCGCGAACTGAAATCGCACGAGTCCCTACCACTTTGCCTCCATCAAAATGAGACCGCCACGGCCGGTATCGGACCTCCGACCAGGTCCGATACCGACCTGTGTTGGCGTAATTGGCACGGTCAGTAGTCCGTACGAACAACCACCGCAGTGGACGAAATTTTGAACTTTGCGTTCATACATGGGCACATACGAACGCACGCAAGAACATATATAAAATATGGTTGAACCCTACGCCCAAAAGAGCGGAGGGGGGGGGGGGGGGCTTATTTCTTATTATGCTCCTGGCTGACAGTTGCGGAATCAAAAGGTACGAGCGAGCAGGTATGATGCATTTATGCTTTACAGTTACGTCGACTGAGGCACTGAAAACAAACAAGCATAAAGCTTTGCATCAACTTCAAATAGAAGTGCTCCTAGTGGTGAATAATTGTGCAACGTTTTCCCAGCGGTGAAATGTTCGTGCATAAGGTTATAGGCTTCTTGGGACATTCCGACATTGTACGTCGAATTATTCACTCGCCTATTGACATTATTAACAATTTGTTCGGCTAAGAAAAAATATCTTTTTTTTTAGAGATAGGTGTTCCATGCGGTCGCCATGTGTTCATATTGTCGCGGGTTGTAAATTACAGGGGGTTTATTTAAAAACACGGACAGTGGAACTTATAGAGACGCTCTCAGAGAAGGCCGCTAGGATTGTCGTCTTCTTCACTTGCCTGCGCTGCGCCTCTCGAGCAAAACCGCCTTCTTCGTTGTCGTTGCTATCTCGCCGCTAAATGCAGCTATGCACGCGGCATTACCCTCCCGCCAGAGTGAGCGTCGTCCCGATGCTCAACAGGTAGAGATGCAGCCAGCGGGTGTTTACATCACTGAGAGTGGTAAAGTTTCATGCGGACCACGTGCACTGTCTCAGGCAGATGCTGGCGACGTTTCGAACAGGAGGAGGCGTCGGGCACGACTTCGTAAGTCACGTCGCTAAGACGGCGCAAAACCTTGTAGGGTCCGAAGTATCGGCGTAGAAGTTTCTCTGAGAGGCCTCGTCGTCGTACAGGAAACGAAACCCAGACTCTATCTCCTGGTTGATAAATGACGAATCGATGGCGAAGGTTGTACCGTTGGGCGTCAAGTTGCTGCTGGTTCATATCGTGGGCAAGCTGCCTTGCTTCCTCGGCGCGCTCAGTGACGTCTGCGGCGTCTGTCTCTGAATCATTGCAATCGTAAGGCAGCATGGCGTCAAGCATTGTCGTAACTTCTCTGCCATGAATTAGTGCGAACGGTGTCATTTTTGTGGTTTCCTGGTGCGCCGTATTATACGCCAATGTGATGTACGGCAATATTCGGTCCCAATTCTTGTGTTCCACGTCGACGTACACGCAAAGCATGTCAGCGATTGTCCTTGTTAAGTCGTTCTGTAAGCCCATTTGTTTGTGGGTGGTAAGCAGTCGTCTTCCTATGCGCTGTGCCACTGAGCGTAAGCACAGTGCGCAAAAGCTCGGCTGTAAACGCGGTGCCTTTGTCTGTTATGACGACAGCTGGAGCACCATGTCTCAGGACAATGTTCTCAATGAAGAACTGGGCCGCTTCAGCTGCAGTGCCACTCGCGATTGCCTTGGTCTCCGCGTATCGGGTGAGGTAGTCCGTCGCTACTATAACCCATTTGTTGCCGCTGTCCGATGTTGGGAATGGGCCCAGCAGATCCATTCCGATTTGAGAAAACGGCGTTTCTGGCACGGGCACAGGATGTAATAGCCCAGCGGGTTTGACAGGTGGTACCTTGCGCCGCTGACAATCAATGCATGTTCGTACGTAATTTTTAACCTCTGCTGCGATTCTTGGCCAGTAATATTTTTCTTTGATGCGTGTCAGTGTTCTTGTGAAACCGAGGTGGCCCGCAGTGGCTTCGTCATGGCAGGCTTGTAATATTTCGCTGCGGAGAGCTCCAGGAACTACCAGCAGATAGCTTCTACCTGTTGATGAAAAGTTCTTTTTGTACAGAATTCCGTCCCGTAAACAGAATGACGATAAGTTCTTCGAAAACACTCTTGGTGCATTGGCGGCCCGTCCGTTCAAGAATTCTATAAGCGAGTTGAGCTCCCGATC